CTTCTAAATTTTGACATAATTGCCCTTAATTTGGCCAATTTTGGAAACTCGGTTCGTCACGTGACTGTCATGGTTGGCGAAAATTTTTGGAAACCTGATTCAATGATGCCATACTTTTGTGTATGTGTTGCAAAATAATTGAATAAATTATGTCTTATAGTTTACGAGTTATTACGTTTTTAAAAAAAGACATACTTAATCCCCACCCTGTAACTAAACTCGTTCGCGATGTTTATGGCCCACACCTACACCTCAAACAAGATCTGGTGGCCAGTCGTGTATCAGGTTTGCGTAGTAATGCCAAATACAGTGAAGCACCATGGGCAGTTTACTTATTGTTTAAATTCTGGCACTACTTTGACGACAGCGCTTGTAGTGGTGTTTTGGTCGCCAAACTATGGGTCCTAACGGCCGCCCATTGTTTCGGAAAGTAAGCAAAACTTACATTAAATTAAAATACAAAAAATTATTTTACTATTTAAATAGCGATACCAATCGGCGACTAGTTATTAGGGCCGGGAATACACAAAAAACGGGTCGGGAATCCCGGGAAATGGATCGCGTGGTGTTTCATCCGAAATATAACTCTTCGAAACCTACTCTACATGAAATCGCTTTGGTTAAACTTAATGAGGCTTTTACTAAGACTATTGATAACAGACACTACACTATAAACCCGATATGTCTGCCAAATAAGGATCAATGGAATCAATACCAAGAGTTGGCCACTATTTTTGGTTTTGGTATAATCGACGAAAAGACTAAACTCAGAACCGATTGGCTCCAGACGGGGGACATGTGGTTACAACCATATTATAACTGTAAAGTTGGCTCTTACCAAGGTATTTTGTGCTCGTTTTATGCCATATCAAAGCTAGCCATACCTTGTACGGTACGTATTCATTAGATTCAATAATTTGTAATAATACATATTTCATATAATAAATGTGTTTCTATCCAGGGTGATTCGGGTGCCGGTTTGGTCCAGTATACCGATAAATACCGGACCCGAGCTATACTTATTGGTATCGATTTGAGCGGTAAATCCCTTACAAAACTAGACATATGTGACAGCAACTGGTCTTTTATAATCTCTGTCTCATTGGTTATGGACTGGATATTAGAGGCCATCAAAAATAATACTCAAATTTAATTATATGTGAAGTTATTTATAATTAATGCTATTTATATTGAAATTGTATTTAAAAGTTTTTACATATTTATTTATGGAACAAATAACTACTTGTTTACATCATTAGAATTTACATCAGAATAATCTCGTAATTAACTAATTTAAAAATTGTTATCTATATTTAAATTTAATTATAGTTTAAATTTTATATTGAATTATATATTAGTTTTATTTTTAAATCTAATTTAGAGTTATATTGATTACACTTGAATTTGATTATGATTTTGAAATTCATGTTATGTTTTTCTATCACTTTTTGTGAGTTTTAAATTGATATAAAAAAATTGCGTAAAAAATAATAATAATTAGTAATTATTAATTACTATAGTTTTAGTACAAACGAGTGGTTTATATGTATCGGTTGAGAACTATTCAGATTACAGGGATTATGGGATTAACGATAGAGACTGTGGGCTGAGATTCACACCAGAAGTCATTTACATAATATACAATACAAACTGTTTTCAAAACAACTATGTAACTAAATTGGTTCGCGATGTTTATGGCCCGCACCTACACCTCGAACAGGATCTGGTGGCCAGTCGTATATCATTTGGTATGGATGCCAAGTATGCAGAAGCACCATGGGCAGTTTTCCTACTGTTTAAATTCTGGCACTACTTTGACGACAGCGCTTGTAGTGGTGTTTTAGTCGCCAAACTATGGGTCCTAACGGCCGCCCATTGTTTCAAAAAGTAAGCAAACCTTACATTAAGCTTAAAATCCTATACTTTTGAAACCATTTATATAGCGATACCACTCGACGATTGGTTGTTAGGGCCGGTAATACACAGGTAACGGGTCGTGAGTCCCGGGAAATTGCCATGGTGATTGTGTACGAGAAATACAACTACTCGAATAAAACTATTCACGACATCGCTTTGGTTAAACTGTCGAAGCCTTTTACCGAGATTATTGATAACAGACATTACACTATAAACCCGATATGTCTGCCAAACATGAATCGAGTGAATGCCGGCCAAGAGTTGGCCACACTGTTTGGTTTTGGTTTAACCGATGAATTCACAGAAAGCCGCACCGATTGGCTCCAGAGGGGAGACCTACTGTTACAACCCTTTTATGAATGTGATTATAGTGGTTACGGCGGTTTTTTGTGCTCACTTTATGCTACGTCAAACCGATCCATACCTTGTAGTGTAAGTAATGCAATAGCTTTTGCAAATAATTGTCAGCGTTTATAACTAATTTGTTTCTACCCAGGGTGATTCGGGTGCCGGTTTGGTCCAGTATACCGATAAATATCGGACCCGAGCTATACTTATTGGTATCGTTTCGAGCGGTAATTCCGCTTTTAGTGAGAAAGGCCCGTGTAATAGCCAAATATCTTACATAGTATCTGTTTCCCTGTATATGGACTGGATATTAAAGACCATCAAAAATAATACTCAAATTTAATTATATGTATATAAATGTTATTTATATTCATAGTGAAATTGTATTTAAAAGTTTTTAATTATTTATTTATGAAACAAATAACTATTATCTCGTAATTAATTAATTTAGTAATTGTTATCTATATTCATATCCAATTATAATTTAAGTTATAGTTATAGTTTAAGATTTGAATTATTTATTGATTTAATTTTTAAATGAAATTTAGAGTTATATTAAAAACACTAGAATTTAATTATGATTTTGAAATTCATGTTATGTTTTGCAATCAGTTTTCGTGAGTTTTAAATTTATATTAAAAATTGTGTAAAAATAATGATAATTACTTTATTTTTAGTACAAACGAGTGGTTTATATTGACATAATATAGTGACATAATATACAATACAAATTGTTTTCAAAACAACTATACAACAAAACCGGTGCACAATGTTTATGGTCCGCACCTACACCTCAAACAGGATCTGGTGGCCAGTCGTATATCGGGTGGTATGAATGCCAAGTATGGAGAGGCACCATGGGCAGTTTACTTACTGTTTAAATTCTGGCATTACTTTGACGACAGCGCTTGTAGTGGTGTTTTGATCACCAGATTATGGGTCTTAACGGCCGCTCATTGTTTCAATAAGTAAGCAAACCTTACATTAAGATAAAAATCCTATACTTTTCAACCCATTTATTTAGTGATACCACTCGACGACTGATTGTTAGGGCCGGTAATACACAGGTAACAGGTCGGGAGTCCCGGGACATGAACATGGTGGTTATTTACGAGGGATATAACTATTCGAGCCCTAGTATTCACGACATGGCTTTGGTTAAACTGTCGAAGCCTTTTACCGAGATCATTGATAACAGACATTACACTATTAATCCGATATGTTTGCCAAACATGAATGCAGTGAATATACGCCAAGAGTTGGCCACAATGTTTGGTTTTGGTATAACCGATGAATTCACAAAAAGCCGCACCGATTGGCTCCAGTGGGGAGACCTACTGTTACAACCCTATTATGAATGTAAATATCGGGGTTACAGTGGTTTTTTGTGCTCACTTTATACTAAATCAAACCGGTCCATGCCTTGCAAAGTATGTAATGCAATAGCTTTTGCAAATAATTGGCAGCGTTTATAATTAATGTGTTTCTACCCAGGGTGATTCGGGTGCCGGTTTGGTCCAGTATACGGATAAATACCGGACCCGAGCTATACTTATTGGTATCGATTCTAGCGGTACCTCCGCTTTCAGTGAAGAGGCCCCGTGTGATAGCGAAAAGTCTTACGTAGTCTCTGTTTCCCAGTATATGGACTGGATATTAGACACCATCAAAAATAATACTTAAATTTAATTAAATTAATACATGTATGATTTGTATTGACATTTGAATGTATAAATGTTTTAAATATTTCCTGTATTAACATTTTATTGTTTATTCATTGTATTGCATTTTAGTGATGATCTAATTTGTATTGATTGCAACTATAATTAAATAAAAGAGATGTAACATAACACAGAGTATAATGTAAGAGTCAAGTCTCGACAACTGGTAAATTGTTTTGAAAGCTATTAAAATAAATCATTTTGTGAACTTATTTTGGTAATTACATTGTTCTCGCGATTCACATATTTACATACATTACAATATGACATTTTAAATTTGTTATTTAATTAACGAATCCTTTTAAACATTCATTAAATGACAAGTAACTCCATTGAAATCAATTGAAAAAATTATAACAAATACCATGTGTATATTTGTAATTGTTTTCCATATATCACTCTTTATGTTTATAACATTCAGTTAGTATAGACTTATAAAAAAAAAATTAAAAATAATTATAAAACCAAACATTTATTTAATACACACTATATGTTCAGCGATTGGTTCGTATGTATCGATCGGTGGTCATACGGGTTATGAGGATTACGGGATTAACGACGATAACTGTGGCCTTAGATTTACAACCGAAGTGTCAGCCATAGTGTACAGTATAAAGTGTTTCCCTAATAACTATGCGGGGGTTCCAGTGCTTTACGAACCGCACATTGAAAGCAACAAATCCGGTCAAATATCTAACCGTTTAACCCGTGGTCGTAACGCTATGTATGGCGAAGCACCATGGGCGGTTTACCTCAACTTTCCAGCATGGTCGTATTACTCAGAGAATGGATGTAGTGGTGTATTGATCACACTGTCGTGGGTCTTAACGGCCGCTCACTGTTGGGATATGTATGCGTTTTTACCATTATTTTTACCATAATCTAAACCTGTGTTCAAATGCATAGATACGTTAATCGACCGCTTCGGGTGACCGCCGGTAACGGCCAAACGTCGGGCGCTGAGTCCCAGAGTATGGCTCGCGTGGTTCGCCACCCGAACTATGTCTACAACACTAGCGCTAAAACTATGGCCATATATGACGTGGCTTTGGTCCAACTCCAGGGGCCGTTCACTCGCAAGACTCAAGGCATGCATTTCATGATTAACCCGATTTGTCTGCCAATTGCGGGCAAATTGAA